AAACCCGAGACCCTTCAGTCGGCAGGCTGACTCTCTATCCACTGAGCAAACTGACCAGGGCTGCAGTAGTATTAACAATAGCCAATATTTGCAAGCAGCTCAAGTGGATAAAAAAGGCGGCGGTACATTTATACAATGAAGTTATTCAGCCATAAAAAAAGAGAAAGAAATCGGGGGGTTGGTGGGGGTAGCACTAGGGAGATAAGAACACATGTAATAACTTAATCAATAAAGAGGGGGGGAAAGAAAGAAGGAAGGAAGAAAATTTTACCCTTTGCAACAGCATGGATGGACCATGGAGAGTATTATGCTGAGAGAAATAAGCCAGTCAGAGAAAGACAAGTGCCATATGATTTCACTTATTTGTGGAATCTAATGAACAAAACAAACAAACAAAACAGATTCAGAGAATGGACTGACACTGTCAGAGAGAAAGGGGTTGGAGGCTGGTGAAAAAGATGAAGGGATTAAGAAGGAAAAAAAAACCCTCACAGACACAGACAACAGCATGGTGATTACCAGAGGGAAAGGGGGTGGGGGAGGTAGAAGAGGGTGAAGGGGGTAAATGGTGATGAAAGGAGATTGGACTTGGGTGGTGAACACAATGCAATATACAGATGATGTGTTATAGAACTGTACATCTGAAACCTATGTAATTTTATTAACCAATGTCACCCCAATACATTCAATTTTGTATGTATTCAAATCAGGGGGGGCTCTGGAAGCCACAGAAGATGTCTCCTGTCCACATCTGCAGCCTCAGCCCAGCCTGATGGGGACCAGGCCTGGTGATGGCAGCCCCTCTGCCCTCTCAGAACCCCGAGGGCGAGCTTCCTGCTGTTTCAGCGAAGGGTATGGCTCTCCCCGCACACCACAGGTGGAGTGACTGCAGAGACCAAGAGCACAGACCTGGCTCTGCCTTGGTGTCCATGGCTGGGCTGCACTGTGACCTCAGGCAGAGGCCAAGTCTCTCACCTTCACAGCCCCACCCCACCCCACCCTGCCCCACCCAGCAGGTGGCAAGTCCTCACACTCTAAGAGGTAAGACGGATCCTCCTCCTCTGCTTCCCTCACTACTTCTTGCCTTGAGAGTAAGACCAGCCTCCCAGCAGCTTCCCTGACCCCCAGTCTCAGTCCTTCCTCTCCTCTTCTCCAGCATGCAGACTCCCTTCTCTCCTGGCTCAACCCTTCTCAGCCTCCTCACTTCCATATATGTGTGTGTGTGTGTGTGTGTATATATATATATATATATATATATATATATATATGTATGTATGTATATATATATATACACACAATATATATATATATATATATATAATTGATTTTCTACAGAGAGGAAGAGAGAGGGATAGAGAGCTAGAAACATCAGTGAGAAAGAAACATTGACCAGCTGCCTCCTGCACACTCCCCACTGGGGATGTGCCTGCAACCAAGGTACATGTCCTTGACCGGAATCGAACCCAGGACCCCCCAGTCCACAGACCAAACCAGTTTCAGCAGCCTCCACACTTCTGCCTAAACATCAAAGAGGTTCTTCTACCCAAGCTGACTCGGACCTCCACTGTCACTCTTTGTCCGAGCACCTTGCTGTCGGCTGGAGAACAGACCCCCCCCCCCCACCTTGGAACTATATAGTCTGTGCGTGGTGACTTGTTTGATGCTGGCAGGTTGCAGATACCCTGAGGGCCAGGACTGCTCTGCATTCCAGAGCAGCACCTTAACAATGTTACTGGCCTGGATCGGGTGGCTCAGTAGCTGAGCATCGACCCAGGAACCAAGAGGTTGCCAATTCGATTCCTTGTCAGGGCACATGCCCGGGTTGAGGGTTCAATTCCCAATAGGGGTTTCTGCAGAAAGAAGCCAATCGATGATGTTCCTCTCTCATCAATGTTTCTATCTCTCTATCCCTCTTCCTTCCACATAAAAACATTTTTTGTTATTTTTTTTCCTTTTCCAATAAAAACGTTTTTAAAAGAATGTTTCCTGCCGGGACCGGTTTGGCTCAATGGATAGAGCGTCGGCTTGGGGACTGAAAGGTCCCGGGTTCGATTCCGGTCAAGGCCATGTACCTTGGTTGCAGGCATATCCCCAGTAGGGGGTGTGCAAGAGGCAGCTGATCGATGACTCTCTCTCATCGATGTTTCTAACTCTCTATCTCTCTCCCTTCCTCTCTGTACAAAATCAATAAAATATATTAAAAAAAAAAAAAAAAAAAAAAGAATGTTTCCTTATTTTACAGGTCAGATGAAAGAAGAGATGAAACATCTACAGGAAGCACCGGCCCCTAAGCTGCCCCTGCCAAAGCGGGCCACCGAGAGACAGAGAAAACGGAGAGAGGTCAGACGTGGGTGGTTTCAGTGGCCGCCCAGAGGCCAAAAGGACACGGCACTGGGAAAGCCCCATGAGTGCTGGGCTGGGAACCCAGTCGGCCTCCTGCCCACACCAGGAGGCCTGGACTGGGGAGGCAGAGCCTAAGTGCCTAGCCCGGGGCCCTGTCATTAATCCCGCCTGTCCAGCAGGCAGGGCAGAAACAGCAACAGAGAAAGGGGCTCTTTCTTCCCTTCTCCCACCTCACCACGCTGGAACCAGCGCTGTGTCTGCGGCCAGATTCTGGCTCGGGTCCCAAGCAAGAGCTCTGAGAACCTTTCAACAGGTTCAGGCAAAGTTCCTTTGGAGGACAAACCAAAGCATCAGTCCTCACAGCAACAAAAAGCTGGCAGATTTGCATCTCAATCAGCTGCAGGCTGGTCCCCCCTTTCGCAAGTCCAATTCAATAAAGTGGCTTAAGGGCTCCTCTGCAATGCAGCCATCCTCCAAGTTTGAAAATGTTAGGCCTCAGCAGAAACCTTGTCTCTAAAGCCTGCAGGCACTCCCAGGCAGGCGTGGCACCGGGATTCCTGCCTGGAAGGCACCGGCTGCTCGGACTCCCGAAGCCGGGAACAGAGAGGCCAGAGAGATAAGCTGTGTGCAATCAGCAGGCCTGCCCGCTGAGGATGCTGAGTCAGTGCGTTTGCCCGAGTCAGAGAAACCAGATTCAGAAGCGGGAGCACAGGCATGGGATAAGAAGTTGATGTTCAACCCACATCCTGACCCTTCACCTTCACCTTCACTTGGGGTTCGAGGTGGGGGGGGGGGGGCAGTCAAGCCTTAAATACTAACTCAGCACTCGGCTGGCACCAGCTCTAGGACTCCTCCCACTTGAAGGAAGTAGCCAAGGCTGAGGCAGGAGTGAAGTGACCAGCCCCAGTGCTGCCAACACCATAAAATAAATTAAATCAGCGGACAACCTCAGAAGAACCCTAGAAGCTGACCTTCTAATACCAAGTGGGTAAAAATTAAATAAATAAATAATAAAAAAATAATTTTAATATATCAGTCCTCCAGTGTGAACAAGATGATAAAAGCTTCATCTGTGGATGATGACGTTTTCTCCTATTTCTTAAACTTTCTGTGCAGCCTGAGCGCGCCCAGGGAGGCAAGCAGGAAGGGTCACGATCTAAAAGGGAGGAGAGAGGGAGGGAGAGGAGGAGCCAAACACTCCAACCTGTTCCTTCCAGAGTCATTAATCTCACACTTCTTGGACAGAAGAGAAAGCTTGTGTAAGGAGCAAGGTCTGAGTGACTTTCCCATCTCCAAGGTTTCTTGCTGACATGGGGAAAGTTCTGCCAGGAACCCTTAGGCCATCAGGAAACATTTCCGAGTGGCTAAAGGCTGAAGGTTCTAAATGATCCACGCTCTGCCCTGCCACTAGCCTGTTCCTATCTCCTCCCCCCGCGGGCACACACACTCCCTTTCTCCTGCCCTACACCGCTCCAGCTCCGCTCCCTAGAAACTGGAACACCCAGGAAAATCCTGGGAAGAGCAGGGAAGAAAGGCGGGGAGGACTCTACATGGAGTTACCGGAACTGGTTCAAAACTTTTCCTTCCCTCAAAGTAAGAGCTCTAGGAAGACAAAGCATGCCGGTGGTGTGCTCAGGGGGTCCAGCTTGGGCTACCTGGGTCTAAAGGGACTCGGGGAGAGGCATTACTTCAATTAGGTTGAACTGCTGGAGACAGCAAGAGGGCAGAGGAGAATGCCTCCGATCGAGGTTGTCCAGGAAGTGGTAGGAGGGTAGACATTGGAGTCACCGGAGTCCACTGTCGGGCTGGACCTACTGACATCAGCAGTGAGGACCTTCCAACAGGGCTGGGGAGTATGAAGGTAGGAATGGGGGTTTGATTTCTTGTAGACCTGCAACCTCAGCCTGCATCGGGCAACACCAAGGATGTGGCAAAGGGAAAGGACAGACCTAGAGGCATTTTTATAAACACCCTGGGCCGCCGCCCCCCACCCCCACCCCCTTGGGCGCAGAAGACCGCTGTGATGCAATGTTCTCACAGCTTGTGAAAGGACATGTCCGCTGGAAAACCATAAAGCAGCAAAAACAGACAAGAAATGGTGTCTGACAAGCCCTTAAAAGACTCATAACAATCTGACTAAAAAACAAACAAAAAACACCCTAAATTCTAGATCAATCTTCCACCGGATGAAGGCCAAGCCACTTCCTCTCTCTCTTGTTACACCCTGGCCACTGAGTCCGGAGTTCCCTTTTCTACAGCCAGCAAGAAACATGCTTCATGCAAGGCCAGTGACGTGCCAGGCCCCGGGAGGAGAGGTGCCTGCAACGTCCCCAGGTGTGGGAAGAACACCCTGGACTCAGGTTCTGATTCCATTCCGGCCCCTCGCTGTGTGTGTGGCCTCCGGCAGGTCAGACCATCTGTCGGAGCCTCAGTGTTTTCATCCATAAAACGGGGACAATGCTATGCACCCAGGGGAGCTGGCTGAAGATCCAATAAATGGGCCTTTTGCTGCCTGGGAGGCGCTGCGCAGCAAGGTGGTGCTGCTGGCCAGGTCTGCCCCGCCATCGCGCCCGCTCCAACAGCTCCCACTCCAGGAGCCTCCCCGACCGCCCGACCGCCCGACCGCCTGACCGCCCGAGCCCGGGGCGCCGTCTCACCTGGCTCGGTACACAGGTAGGAGTAGAAGCCCTCGGACTTGAGCATGATGAGTAGCGAGCCCCAGCCCAGGAGGACTGCCGAGAAGAGGAGGTTTTCCACCACCGCCGTGCAGGCCATCCACCAGCGGCGCCGGTGGGCAGTGGCCAGGGTGGGCGCCATGACGCGGCGGCGAGGGGGCCCGGCTCCGGCTCCGGCTCCGCAGCCACCTGCGCACACACCTCGGCGTCAGCGCCCGGTCCCGGCCGGTCGGGGAGGCCGAGCTCGGCCGCTGCGGCAGCGCGGGGCTGGCCACCCCTCCGCGGCCCCGGCCGCAGGTGCGCGCAGCCAAGGGGAGCCCCGTCTGGCCCGGACCTGGGCTCCCCACCGCGGGCCCTCGGAGGTGGGAGAGCCGCTCCGGCCGGGCAGGGAGACTTCTCCCCCAGCTCCCTCCTAGGTAAACTGAGGTATGCCAGCAGGAAGGGACTAACGCAAACCCGGGGACATGCAGTGAGTCCTGGCTCCCGGCATGACTGGCATCGCTCGGGTGTCTGCGGGGGCGGCAGCCTGCGATCCAGACACCTGGGCCGGGGCGCACCTGAGGGCGGCCACTCCCTCGGACCTTGACAGCCGCCTGCCTGCGCGCGCGCCCGCCCGCAGCGAAGACCCTTCCCCAGAGCCGGTTCTGGCAACCACAAGATCAGCGCATCTAGCTCCTGCGGGCCCGCCCCCCGGCTCGCTGATTGGCCGGCGGCACAGGAACCGCCGCGCCATTGGCCGGGGTCTAGGTCGCTAGGCGCTGCGGCCACGCGAGCCCCGCATGGGAGAAGCGAAGCCGGTTCAAACCGGCGGCGCGGGCCACCTGCGCGACCCCCCACCCTGAGCTGTGTGTGTCCCCTGCAGCCGGCCCGTTCCGACGGGAGCGGATCTCCGTCCCTCCGTTTCCTTGCCCCTCCTAAATTCGTCATGTCTTCTGTCAGCTCCTCAGCCATCCAATCTCTTCCCTCTCATATTTTCACACATCTTCTCCCTAACCACCCCGCCCTACCAGCAAGCCTTCTGCCCCCAGCACCCTCCCCGCGAGGCCCGATTCCCAGGGTCCAGCTCACCCGGCTCCTGCGATCGTGTGTCGGGCCCGCCGGCGCCTTTTCTGTCCCCTTTTATTGCAGCCCTTTTATTAGGACCCCGGGACGAAAACACTGCCGCGCGCTGATTGGCTGAGCGGGCTGGAAACAGGCGGCGGCCAATCAGTAGGCGCCGCCCGCCCGGCCGCAAGCAGAAGCCGGTTCCGGCCGGACTCGGAGACAAACAGGAGGACCGGGGGCGCTCTGGGGAGCCGTGGGCCGAGCCTCTGCTCTGCACCTTAAACGGGAGCCCCAGCTGGGCTGGGCACCCCTGAGACATTGCCCTGGCGCCCCTCCGAAGCCCCGCCCCGAAACCTTGCCCTGGGTGGAGTCTCGGGCTCGGCCTACCTAGGTCCCCAGATCTCCCCAGCATCACTGCCGGCCCCCTCGCTTCACACCCAGCTCCGCTTCTGCACTCCGCTCTCCGGCCCGCTTTAGGGCCCCCCAACTTCCCGAACTCTGCCCTGGGCACCAGGCTTCGATGCTTCGGCTCCCGGTGGGTCGCTCCATGGCCGCCGCCCGCACGGCCGCCTCCCAGCGCAACCCATTCTGGTTCCTCCTGTCCCCAGTGTCCCCCCCATTCAGCCTATGTTTACCCATTCCGGATCTTCGGGCCCCATGATCCAGTGTGCCTCTTCCTCTTCTCCTGATTCACCGACCCCGCTCCTGGGTGCCATCTGCCCGGTCCCTCGGGGACCCCCAGGTGGGCGTTTGGGGCTTGTCTGTCCCCTGGCACGGTGTCTCCCCTGTTGCCCCATCCAGACTCCGACCCACTCCCTTTGGCCCCTCAGGAACCGCGCCCAAGGTGACTGTCCAATGCCCACTGTCTGCTCCACCTCCACCCCTTTCCCGTGTGCCTTCCTCAGGGCCCCTCTTCAGGGCAGCGCCGAGCTGCGGGGACAAATCAGCCTCCGGGAGAAGGTGCGGAGCCGGGAGGGCTCCAGCTCCCGGTCTGCTAGGCGAGCTGGACCTGCCCAGAGCTGCCATGGCAGGGCGATGAAGCCCAGGCGCCGGAATTCCTGCTGCCCATCTTGGTCTCTCCGACCAGAGACACTAGCCTGACCTTAGAGGACCCCTGGGCTTCCCGATGATTCGGCTCGGTCTCCCAGGCAGGCAGGCAGGCTGTGGGAGCTGGCTCATCCCAGGGCTGCGGGAGCCCCTGGAGCCTTCTGTTCCACGTCGCCCGGTCCGAGAGCGCCCCCTGCCGCTGGGAAGCCGCCGCTGGCACCCTCCTTCAGACCATCCTGCCGCTGTAGGCTTGGGGGATCCTTGCTCCTTGCCTGTCCTGTTATCCAGGCTGCAGCACTTTTCATCCACTTATGAGATTGCGACTACCCCTTGACAAACGTCAGTCCTTCCCTCCTAGAGCCACCTACTTGAGGGCCGTCCCCAGGCAGCTGTTCCATACGCGTTTCTAAACTGTTTCAAACCTCTCTAAAATAATTTACTTTCTCCAAAACAGTTCCTCCAATTTTTTTCTCAGCTCATGGCCCCGCTAGCCACCGAACTTAGAGACTATGATCCACCGTTTCAACACCTGCTGTTATTTTCCCTCTCCACCCCACCCCTGCCTGCCAATGCAGTCATATTTCCTAATTTGCTTATCTGAGTTCCTAGGACTCCCAACTGCTTCACCCAGCGTCCAATCACAGCCCCTGAAACCCATCTCTCCACCCCACCCCATCCCAGTGAGCTATATGAAATGTAAATCTGACCTTGGGCCCCACCGACACGGCTCAGTGGTTGAGCATCGACCTATGAACTAGGAGGTCATGGTTCAGGTTACAGGCTCGATCCTCAGTGTGGGGTGTGCAGGAAGGCAGCAAATTAATGATTCTCATCACTGACTAGTGGCCCGGTACACGGATTTGTGCACATTGAAAGGAAAATAATTAGAAGAAATATTTTAATATTGCCATTTGCCCTTTCTCCCTCAGTGCCTGGCCCTGCCCCCCACCGCCACCACTGGTGGCCATCTGTGGGGTGATCGGTGGGGTGATCAGGGCCACTCACACCCACCTTGGCGTGGCACCGCCTGCTCCCCTTCTCCACCATCCCGTCACTCATCAGGGCCCATCGGGCCTGGCAGTGCCTCCACTATGGCCAGCGCCATGTCACCAATGCCCACCATGTTCTGCACCACCCCTAGTGGTCAGTGCATGTCATAGTGGGCAGTCAAACTCCCAGTTGAATGACTGCCTGAGGGGACAATTCCCACATTAGGCTTTTATTATTTATATAAGATGTTTCTCTCTCCCTCTCCCTTCCTCTCTGAATCAGTAAAATAGATATATATATTTTTTTTAAAAAAATCTGACCTTGGTAAATCTGATCTCTGCTAAAATCAGTCAGAAACTCTACCATTTGTCTTGCAGGATAAAGTTCAAGTTCTCCAACCTGACCTACACAGGCTCCTTCCTCCCACCAGTCTCTCTCTCCCCAGGGAGGCTGGTTGACCTACCTGGTCCGAGATACTCCAATCACATGCTGGACCTCAGAGTCCCTTTTTGGACAGCTCCTACAGAAAGCCTTCCTTGACTGCTCCCCCAATACTGTCCATTGTCTTTGCTCACTAATTTTGTCGTATATCTTTAATATCTTTGAGATATATAAATCCCTGAGAAAAAGATGAATACCTCAAATGAAATTGGGGAAAGAAAATAACCAGATAATCTATAGGAAAAATACAAATGAAGATTTGAAAAGGAGTTCAATCTTAGAATAATCATAGAAAATCAGATTTTAATTATACAATTTTCATGATTAAAAAGCAAAACTAAAAATACTTTATCTGATCAAAGCTTTAACCTTTCCTAAAACTATAGTTCTCAATAAAAGTGATTCTATGAAAGAAAGAAAAATAAAGCTTTGACCTGCTATTACTTTCTTTTTGTTGCCCTAAAATAATGAAATACCATCTTGAACTTATCATATTGGGTGTAAGAAAATAGATACCACCATTATTTGTGAGAGTATAAAGCCATACAACATTTTTGGAGGGCAATTTGGTGTAAATACATAAACGTTTAATGTTCTGATTCTATAACACAGCGATTTTGCTTTTTTTCCGGCCTTGGGCCTTTTTCCAGCACTCACAGGGATCTCTTCTACAGAAACACTTGCACAAATATATTTTTTTTTAAATGGAAAAAGTTGAACACTGCATCATTAATAGTCTCAAACAATTAAAAAAACCACCAAATCCCTAAATGTAGGGAATGGTTCACATAATCCGTGTCATTTCCACATGATGGGATCCCGTGTAGCCATTTTTTAATAAAGAGAGGTAGCTTTATATTTACTGGCACCAAAAGATACCCAGGATACGTTAAGTAAAAGATTAAACTGCAGAACAGTATGCTCCTTTGTCTTCAAGTGCACAGAAAAACATCGGAAAGGAAGCATCTAAACTTCCATGAGCTTCTCTGAGCACAGGGTTGGGGGTAACCGCTGCTCTTTATTTCCTGACGAGGTCATACACCTGCATGGGGCAAGAATTCAGAACGAGACCGAAAGACAACCTATGAAAAGTAAATCTGGCCCCTCCCTGCTCCCCCAGACTCCTCTGGGGAGACGGGAAATCTCATTTTTACTTCATACATATCCAAAATGTTAGTTCTATTTACTTTTAACAAAGAATATTACTTAAAAAAAAAAAAAAGTTCAATCGAGTGAGAAAAGTAAAAAGAATATTCACTATACAAAATATGCAAATTATACAAAAGTTTAAAAAGAAAATAAGCCCTGGCCAGTGTGGCTCAGTTGGAGCATCATCCCTTACACCAAAGGTGGAGGGTTCAATTCCTGGTCAGGGCCCATACCCAGGTTGCGGGTACGAGCACATGGTCAGGGTGCCATGTGAGAGGCAGCCCATCGATCTCTCTCTCTCTCACTCTCTTACACAACATAATTGTTCGTGGCTGTTTAGGAACCCACCATAAAAAATATTTATTTAACCAACCTTTTATCATCAAACATGTAGGTTGTTTTCCAGTTCAGAAAAATATTTTGCAAACGAAGGAAAGAATAGCCTGTTGGGGTAAGCCAAGTCCAGGACAACAGAAATAAGTCCCTGCAGCCGTCTCATTCTCTTCCTGACCCCATCCCGTGGGGTCTCCGCCCAGGCCTTCCAGACCTTCCTTGGAACGGCGCCAGGGCCCACAGCCAACTGGCCTCTACCTCAGATGTTTCCCCACCGGAGGGCAGAGGTTCTGGTAGGTCTTTCCGGCCCTGGGGCCTTTTTCCAGCACAAAATACAACCTGATGCGGAGGCAGTTCCATGCCTACCCCCCATCCGTAGCCTTCCCACTCCCCAAATTCATGGTCCTCAGGGCTCCGGTGGCCCAGAGATGGGTGCCACATTCTCATACTGCGGCTCCTCCTGCTCTTCCTCGTCAGCCAGCTTCTGGGCATCCTGTACCGGGGGGCCCCCGGGGGCCAGCTCCTGGAGCCTCTCTGAGCTCTTGACGCCATCCCTCTGCCCACTGGCCGCTTCCTCTGGCCCCGTTCCTGCGGGCGGCGAGGCCCCCGCGGGCTCCTCGTTCGGGGCTGGGCCAGAGCTCGGACTGGCAGGGCCAGGGGCCAGCCCGGATCTGCCCTTGTTCCGACTCAGGGCCCGACGTGGAGGCTTGGGGATGGCACTCTTCACCTTGGGCCCCGCCTGGCCTTTCTGGAAGCTACCAAAACGGCGGAGGACGGCCCGGACCGGGCCCCCGGGTTCCCGGGGTGACCCTGCCAAGGTGTAGATGGTGGTGACGGAGCCCCCGCTCCCCTGGACGCCGCTTTCGATGGCTTCCACGCGCTCCGCCACCGTCTGGCCACTGAGTGGGAGCCGGCGGGGGCCGGCGGCTGAGTCCTTGGGGCTGGGTGCCCCGGGAGGGACCTCGTCCCTTTCCGCTTTGTCGGGGCCTGCGGACTCCTCAGCCTCCTGGCTCTCAGGACCGGGCTGGCCGCCCCGGGAGAGCCGCTTGGGCTTCCGGAGCGGGTTGGAGAGCTCCCCGGAGCTTTGGCGATTCTGCGGGGCGAACTTGGTGCCTTCGGCAAAGGAGACGGAGGGCCGCTTGGCCCGAGCGAGGCTGGAAGTGCGTGGGATGGCGAATGGCGTGGAGGCATCCTCGGGGGCTGGGAAGGGACCATCAACCACGCTGGCCTCCGGTGACTCTGCTTGGGCCTCAGGGACCATCGCTGGCGGAGGAGACAAAAGAGTTAGGCCAAAGCTGGGCTGGCCACCCCAACCCACGCACTCCCAGGTCAGCATCTTCCGGGAGGCCACGATCACGGGGCAAAGTGGAGGGTGAGGATGCAGAGGCAGGAACAGCAGGGTCAACAGACACCACCACTTCTCCCTTCTCTTCCCGCCTCCCACCCTTCTTTGACTTAATGTCACACTCCGTCCATCCAAGCTAAAACTCTTCAGTGCCACACAGCCGTGCCCCTCTCCTCTCTGGACCCGTGTACACGGCCCCCTCTTCCCGAAACACCATTCCCACCTCCCCCTAACTTTCTCACGGCTAACTCGTGGTTCTGCTAGACTCAACGCCAATGTCACGGACACTGAGACATCTCCCCTGACCCCAGTCTCCTCAGACATGGCTGGGTGACAGCCCCTCTGGCGTGTCCCCCCGGGCAAGCACATAACACTCCGTCCTAGAAGGGTCTGGTCACTGCCCACCAGACGAAAAGCTGGGTAAGGACGGGAATCTAGCTTGTCTCCATTAGGAACCCCAGCAGAAGACGGAACACTTTATAGGACATAGGGGGTGGTTGTATCGGTAGGACCAAGGGATCAGAAGGATGCTCAGACACCCAAGCAGTATTTAAAGTGGCCCCAGTGGGTGACTGGCGGGGGGGTGGGGGAGGGGGCGCGCTACCTTCTTTGGGCGGCACGCAGTAGGCAGGGTCCTCGTCGTCCTCTCCGCAGTCGTAGTCGGAAGAGAAGGAGTCGTCCGAGGCCCAGCCGGCGGAGGGCTGCTCGATGAAGCTGTGGTTGAAGGGGACCTCCGGGTCGTGGTGGGAGACTGCAGGGGGTGCCAGGTCAGGCACACAGCCCGGTGGGAAGCTGTGTCCCGTCCCAGCCCCGCCCCTCAGCGCCCACCTACCTGTCACCCAGGGCAGCTTGTGGCTGCTGAGGGACCTGCAGGGCAGCGCGAAGTCCAGGCTGGTCAGCGCCTCCCACAAGCCCTGGAGCTTCCTCCTGGACACAGCGGCTCCCTCCCTCGCCGGGCTGAGGGCACAGGAGGCGGTCAGTGTGTGAGACCCGCCTGGGGCGGGGTGGGAGCAGGGGAGGAGGGCCGGGCCCATCCAGGCCCTGGGGTTAGAGGGCGTGAGGAAGGGCGACAGAGGGGCTGTGTCCACTTCAGTGGCTCCCTACGGCCACAGACTCAAGTCCAAACGACTGAGCCCAAGATGTGGGCCTGCCCCAGCGGGCAGCGTGGCTCCAGAGTCCAACAGACCTGGGGCAGCAACTCCGCTCAAACGTTACAAGGCTCTGGGCCTCTGTTACCTTACCTGTCGACTGGGGACAGCTACAATCTATCAGAGCTTTTTTCAGAACCCCCAGGTGGGGTTCCCCAAAAGGCAGCCATGTGCTGTCACCCTCCTAGCTGAGTCCCAGCTCACCCGGCTTTCTGGAAGTGACACCGCCTCCAGGAAGCCTGCCGCTGGCCCCATCCCCATGCTGGAAGCGACCGCTCCATTCCTACCATTCCTCAGACAGCCCTGGCACATGCCCTGGTCCTCCTGGGAGGGGCTTCTTCCCAACCCCGGGCTCTGTGCCTCAGGGGACAGGCCACTGGGCCTGCTCAGTTAGTGTCGCCAGCACACGCAGGATGACATGCTCAGGATTAGCGTGAGAACTGTAAGAGAGCACTGGTCAGAGTCCCGAGAACAGGCCCAGGCTTTGTGTGGGCCAGTGACAAACCGAGACACCTTATTGGTGTCCTCTGTGCTGGGCTCCTCCTCCTGCCCCCACATCCCCTGCTCCAGACCCCCAAGATGCGATGAGTCTCCCAGGAGCAGAGAAACGGGAAGAGGTTTTTAAAGGAACAAAGCTGGTGAGGAGCGGCGGTCTGCAGTGGCCGCCACACAAAACCTTCCTCTTCCTTTCTGGGAAAGCCCCATTCTTCACTAAACCACTGCCCAGACTTCCATGTCACCCTCCTTGGGCGGGGAGGGAGAAGAGAGGAGGTGAGGCCTGGTCTCCCAGCCCAAAGCTGCCTGCTGCGTTCCCGGTCCCCCTCCTCCTCTGGCCCCCCGTTAACATACCCTCAGCCTCCCGCTGTGGGTGTGAGCTTCCCCAGCCTGCTGCCCCTGCACACGGGACTCCCCCTGAAGGCTTCTGATGGGAGCAAGCGGCTGACCTCATGTCTCCGGGCCACTACCAACGACCCCATCCATCCTGACCTACGTGTGTGACCAGATCAGCCCTTCCCCACCCCTGAAAGGAAAGCCAGGGTTCACCTGTCCTTGGGGTCCAACCGGGCGGCCCAACAGCACCAGGCACAGCAGCAGGCAATGCCCAGGAGGAGCAGCAGCAGAGGCACAAGGATGCCAGCGATGAGGGTGGCATCCTGGCTGTGAGACCCTGGGGGCGGGGGGAAGGGAGAAGGGTGAGCAGTAGTCAAATATTCAGGGCCTTCTCACCTCCCACACATGTCACACTCTAGCTGGGGTGCCTCCTCCCCAGCCTTCCTCCTGCGGGTGTCTCTTCTGAGAGACGCAGAGTCTGCTCAGCCTGGGGGCCGCCTGCTGGCCTGTCCCCTTCGGATGGTCCGCGGTCCGCCCCACGAGCCTTGGCCCTTGTTTTCATGCCTGATGCCCTGCCCGCCCGTTTCCTGGGTGCTAGCCTGGTTTCTCAGGGAACAGGGACGCTGTCACCTCTTAAGGGGACCCCAGAGCGTCCGCACAGATTTCAGGCAGAAGGAATGTCTCTGATGTGGGCTCAGGCTCCCTGGCCAGTGACGCGCTTCCGGAGCCCATGGGAAGGGCCAGTCTTTCCTGGGTGTACCCTGCACCCTGCTTTCCTCCTTACCCAGCTGGCAGGCCCCGGAGACAGGGTGGCAGGGGCCCTCTGGGCATTCACAGGGCGCAGAGCAGTTGTTTCCGTGGAAGCCAGATGGGCACGAGACGTTGCAGCTGTGGATGGCAAGGAGCGGCAGGCTGAAGGTGGGTGGGAAGGTGCAGGTGGGCGAGGGGGAGAGGAAGGGAGGTTTCTGGGCACTGGTCCCCAGCCCTGCCAGCAGGCTTCCCTGGATGATGCCTGGGCAGGCTTCTCCTGCCTCAGAGCCACATGCTCAGTGCCGCTGACAGCCCTGGAGAGAACCCCTCAGCCCCTAAGCCCATCTCCCATGGAAACTACCTCCAAGCTGTCCTCTGGCCCCAGCCCTCCCTCGGGCAGAGTCCACTTCTCAGGAGCCTCAGCCCTTACCCACCCAGCACTCATACGAACTAAGCAAGATGCCAATGGCATCAGACACCCTCGGGGGCTGGCAGCCCGCCAGGTCCAGCCCTGCCCCTAACTCTCTGGGCCTGGGATCTCTCCTCTCTGAAATGAGGTCTTTTCCATGTTCTGGATTCTGTCCCAGAGGCGGCAGATCTGACGCTGGAGACATTGACGTGGATTAGGCTTTCCTACCTGAAGACCGCAGGCCAGTGGTCGGCAAACTCATTCGTCCACAGAGCCGAATATCAACAGGACAACAATGGAAATTTCTTCTGAAAGCCACATTTTTTAAACTTAAACTTCTTCTAACGCCACGTCTTCAACATAGACTCGCCCAGGCCGTGGTATTTTGTGGAAGAGCCACACTCAAGGGGCCAAAGAGCCGCATGTGGCTCTCGAGCCGCAGTTTGCCGACCACGGCCTTTGGGAAACAGCAGTGGGGTTTGGAGGCCTTCCCCTGGACAGCTTCCCCCTCTGGGTAGGCAGCCAGGCCTTTCCCATTTGGAAGATGCAGACCCCACAGCAGGCAGAACGGCTCCTCCGCTCTGAGGGTGCTGGGTGGGACAGGGAAGGTGGAGACGCCCAAAAGGGAAGTTAAGGAAACAGCTTGCACGGAGGCCGGACCCTGGCCCCCGCCTCTCTGTCCTCACCTGGGTCCCCAGTAGCCAGCGCTGCAGACACATTCCCCGGTCACAGCGTCACAAGCCCCCTGAACACAGGCGGGGCAGGTGGAGCCACAGCCCTCCCCAAAGGTGCCACGTGGGCAGGGGTCTTCACACCTGAGGTGAGGCGAGACTTGGAATGGGGGGCGGGGCAGGCCCGGCCCCCACAGGGAGCTCTCCCCATCGTGCCCCATGCTTCTAGACTAGGGGTGTCGAACTCAATCAGAGAAGGGGCCAAAATCTAAAATCCAGCCTAAATCGCGGGCCGAATGGTTTACTGAACAGTCATAAACTGTCATTGTGATGGAAACGCAGCGGAGTGCAGTGATGACAGCGCGGTGCGGGCCACATTGCAAGGCCTGGCGGGACGGATTTGGCCCGCGGGCCTTGTGTTTGACACATGTGTTCTAGACTCAGGGACCCAACTGTGGGTCCTGGGCAGGAGCTCAGGTACAAACAGGGCCCTGAAGCTGGGCCAGACCCAACAGGTGACCGAGCAGAGGTCCCTGGAGGGAGAAGAGGGCAGGAAGCCTGAGGGGCAGGGACTGGAAGAGAGCCCTGCCCAGGCCTCATCGGCACCCATCTCTGTCCCGTCAGGCTTCCCCAGGGGGCAGGCCCCGGGGGGCGGGCTGTGTGAATGTGCGTTTGGGGAGGGGACGCCTGTCCCCGAGGGAGCAGCTGGGGTGAGGATTCGGAAGGAAGGTCTCCCCCACCCCGAGCAGGCTGGCCCCTTACCTGGGCCCCAGCCAGCCGGGCTCACAGCTCTGACAGTGCCCAGTGTCTGGCTGGCAGGCCCCCCCGTGCTGGCAGCGGGGGCACTGCTGTCCGCAGCGCTCCCCGAAGGTACCAGGCAGGCAGGGCTGGAGGCACTGGGTCCCGTTCCAGCCGGGCTCGCAGGACTCGCAGCTGCCCGTGTCTGCAGCGCACGGCTCGTTCCGCGCGCAGTGGCCACAGCTGTGGGAAGAGACGTTCATGGGAAGCTCCTGGGGCAAAGGGAAGGAGTGCCCGCCCAGGCCTCCAGGGCCCCGGAGGGAGAGCACCCAGGACCCAGCTAACGCACTCAGGCAGGTGTGCGCCTCCGCTTCCCCAGGTTGTTCTCCGAAGACGTTGGATAAATGATCTCTGTAAACTCTGGTAGGATCCCAGCCCCCTCCATCTCACCCCCGACTCCAACACTCATCCCTCCCTGGGTCCGCGGGTCACCAGTCAGAGCAGCCAAGTTATTACCCCAACCTCTGCCTCCCTTCTGCCCAGCGTCTCCCCACCCTTCCACCCACACCTCAGGGATGGACCTCAGCAGTGTATCTCCTATCCCATAACGTGAAAATGAATAAAAATAAAAGCGTTTTAGCCTGGCCTGCAGTGCAGCTCAGTGGCTGAGCATTAACCTATGAACCAGGAGGTCAGGGTTTGATTTCTGATCAGGTTGTGGGCTCGATCCCCAGTGTGGGGTGTGCAGGAGGCAGCTGATCAATGATTCTCTCTCATCATTGATGTTTCTATCTGTATCTCCCTCTTCCTTCCTCTCTGAAATCAATAAAAATATTTTTTTTAAATTGGTTACCTCTCAACACACTGCAACTGAGGCTGCAACCGAGATATGGTGCCCTTGACCAGAATCGAACCCATGACCCTTCAGTTCTTCAGTCCGAGGGCCGATGCTCTATCCATTGAGCAAATCAGCTATGGCAGGTTTATATTATCTTAATTTCTTGTTGATCTGTAATAGTTACATGAAGTTTCTCCCTCAGATACTTATCTGGGATCATATACTTTGGTTAGACTCATTAGTGAGGGGAGAGGGGAGTTCATAAAATCAATATAGCAAATCCCAACCAGCAGAAAGAAAAAAAAGAGAGAATAAAAATAAAAAATTACAGTATATACATATTATATATTATTTTATATATGTTATATATATAATAAAGATAAATATGTTGTCTGGTTAAGCTGGTTAAGCTTTTACTTCATATATATATATATATATATATATACACATATATATGGGTGTGTGTGTTATGTGGGATGTAAAACGTGTTATTGTGGGTGGAGTTGGTCAAAGTTTAAAAGTTATTGAGTCAAAGAGACCATGCGATCATTTTGTCATGTGATTCATCCTTTATCTGTTTCTAAGTGTGGCTTGTTACACTAGTATTGTTGTTAACAGTAACCGGATGAAAGGGGTGTGGGAGGCTGGACTCTGGGGCACTGAGGATCTTTTATCCCCCCTTTCATCCCATCCTTGTAGATTAAAAAAAACACACACATCTTGCCCTAGCTGGTTTGGCTCAGCGGATAGATTGTCAGCCTGTGGACTGAAGGGTCCGGGTTTGATTCTGTCAAGGGCACATGCTCAGGTTGCGGCTCGATCCCCAGTAGGGGGCGTGCAGGAGGCAGCCGATGGATGATTCTCTCTCATCCTTGATGAATGTTCCTATCTCTCAGAGAATCATCCACCGGCTGCCTCCTTCAAGCCCCTCCCTGGGGATGGAGGCAACCCCGATGTGTGAACCGCGGCCTCCTGGTCCATAGGTCGAAGCTCAGTGGCTGGCCGCGCCCCCAGGCCCAGCCTAGATTTTTATGGAAGCGCCGCGCCTCTCGGCCCTTCACGCTCCCTCCACCTCTTTCACCTTCCCACCCCTCTCCCTCCCACGGCGCAGGCGCCCGCCCGCCCCGCTCACCTGCGGCCGCACTGCGCCCCCCAGCGGCCGGCGGGGCAGGGCAGCCGGCACTCGGGGCCCCACCAGCCGGGCCGGCAGGCGCAGCGGCCGGACTCCTGGGCGCAGGGCGAGCCGTGGCAGTGGCAGCGGAAGCTGCAGCGGCGGCCCCACCAGCCCGCCTGGCACACGCAGTTGCCCGTGGCCTGGTCGCAGCGGGCGGCCACGGGGTTGCACTGGCACCGGTGCTGGCACCGGGCGGACCACCAGCCCGCCTCGCAGTGGCACGCGCCGGTCCCCGGGTCGCAGCGCCCGTGGGGGCCGCACGCGCACTCGAACTCGCAGCGGCCGCCCCAGCGGTCGTCCTGGCAGCGGCACACGCCGGTGTCCGGCGCGCACTGCCCGTGCGGGTGGCAGGCGCAGCTCTCCCGGCAGTCGGGGCCCCAGTACTGGCCCGGGCAGCCTGGGGGCGAAAAGGAGGGGCGGGGGTGGGGGGAGAGACAGACGGAAGGTCAGCGGGCTGAGGCCTAGGACAAACGCAGGCTTTGGACCCCCTCCCGGAACAAAGGGCGCTGGGCCCGTCCTCCAAGAGCCGGGAACAGACCCTTGGAACATGTGGCATCATATCCTCCTGGGGCAAAGCTCACTTCCTGCCCCAGACTCTGAACACAAAACTCCTTAGCAGTTCCCAGCCTCCCAGGTCACATTGCAGAACACACTAAAAATCCTGAGAGGGCCGAAACCGGTTTGGCTCCGTGGTAGAGCGTGGTCTGTGGACTGAAAGGTCCCGGGTTCAATTCTGGTCAGGGGCATGTACCTTGGTTGCGGGCACATCCCCGGTAGGGGGTGTGCAAGAGGCAGCTGGTCGATGTTTCTCTCTCATGGATGTTTCTAATTCTCTATTCCTCTCCCTTCCTCTCTGTAAAAAATCAATAAAATATATTTTTAAAAAACACACAAAAACTCTTGCCACATCTATAAAAAAGTCAATAAAATATATTTAAAAATAAAAAAATAAAAATCCTGAGAGGGAAAGGGGCTATGCCCGGAGCACACAGAAGTGTGCGTGGCCGAAACAGGTTTGGCTCAGAGGATAGGGCGTCGGCCTTTGGACTGAAAGGTCCCAGGTTCGATTCCGGTCAGGGGCAGGTACCTTGGTTGCGGGCACATCCCCCGTAGGGGGTGTGCAAGAGGCAGCTGGTGGATGTTTCTCTTTCATGGATGTTTCTAACTCTCTATTCCTCTCCCTTCCTCTCTGTAAAAAATCAATAAAAATATATTTTAAAAAATAAAAAAGAAGTGTGTGTGTGTGTGTGTGTGTGTGTGTGTGGCAGGGGTGGGAGGTGTTGAGGCTTCATCCATGCCCCTCCTCCCTCTCACTGGGCTCCTCCTCTGGGCTGACAGCTGGGCCTCGCAGGCCTGGGTGCTGCCAACAGGGGCAGAAGCTCCTCTCCACCATGATTCCTGATTCCTGGTGGCTGCCCCTGCTGTCCGGTCCCACGCCCTTCTCTTCTGCCAGAGAGGACAGCCAGCCTGGCCAGGACCCTCCTTCCGCCCCCCATGCATGCACAGGGAGACGCGGGGGAGACTGGGAATGCACCCACTTTGCAATTTACAGGAACCACCCGTATCCTTTCTGAGTTGAAGGGTGAAGGGCCCAGATTGAAACAGTGAGGAGGGCTCTGTGGATATGGGCAAACCCCAGATGACTCAGGGCAGCTCCCAGGAGTGTCACTTCCTGTCCCTGGGCCTCGGTTTCCTCCGTGAAGACTGGAGAGGCTCTGGCCCGCTGTTCTAAGATGTCGGTCCTCCCTGCGTCGCCCACCTAGTTCTGCCCAGCAATGTCAACCCCGCACACACACCCCCGGCGTGACTTGGAACTCACGGGAGTTGCACTGGGCCCCGAAGAATCCAGGTTTGCACCGACAGAGGCCTGGCTTCACACATACTTCGTTCTCCCGGCAGGCATCGGGCCCCTCGCAGACGGCTGAAACACACCCGCCTCGGTCAGCGGCTTGACCAGGGGACACTCGGCCCCCTCACTGACTCCCAGTTCCCTGCCCCTCAAGAGTAAGGTGACCAGACGTCCCGCTTTTGGAAAGATTATTTCCAAAAATAGGGACTTTTTTAAAACGCTGCGGGACGCAGGACAAATTGTTAAAAATCGGGACCGCTTTTGGCGAGACGTCTGGTCACCTTATCCAGAGCTGTTCCCTCCGGGCTGGGCGTGTGTGTCACAGGATGGACCCTGGCTCCAGGGCTCAGGACGGGAAATCAGCCCCCCAGAAAGGGAGGAAGGTCGCTGAGCTGTGTCCTCCCTTCTGGGGTGGGGATTGGTCTTGGCCACTCACCAATGGTGCATTCTTGGTCCTTCTGCCTCCAGCCTGGGCAGCACCGGAGCTCAGCTGAGGGGCTGTGGGGCGGAGAGGGGTCAGCCGGAGGGCGGCTAGGAGGTGTCCTGGGTTCAAAGGTGGGGCACTGCCTCTGGCTGAGGTGTGGGAGGCTGCCTCAGCCCCATCAGGCAGGCCTGGCCAAGAGTCACAGCCCACTCTCCCCAACCCCTTCCCTCTCCTTCTCTGGCCTTCCCACCATCTGTCCTGACTATCGCCACCCTCCAGGCTGTCCCCAAGCCTCCCTCCCTTCAGCCCCATGATCTCTTCCCTCTTTTCCCGCCCCGTGCCTCAGCACCAGCTCAGCTCCTCCTCCCCCCGCTCCCCCCTCAGACTCCCACAAGAGCCACCTGCTGTCCTTGCACACATGCTGCCCGTTAGGGTCCAGCGCAGACCCCCGGGTCCTCGGAGTCCAGAGCAGCAGCAGTGGGAGCAGCAGCCTCAGGCCCATGGCGGCCAGTGCAGTGAGAGGGTTGGAGCTGGCCTGGCCCCCACAGCTCCCAACCCCCTCCGTTTCCTCCCAAGGCCTTTCCTGAGGAAGCCAGGCCCAGGGGGCGGCGGTGGGCGGGCTGCCCTGAGGCACCTCCCTGGGGCTGGGCAGGCACAATCACTAGTGCTGAGTGGGCCTGAAGGGGCTGGCTTCGGTCTGGAGGGGGCAGGAAGTCCCGGGGTATTGGGAACAGGTGCGGGGGTGGGGTTAGTGTGGAGCCATCGTTTTCCATTAGGTCATACTTCCCAGTGGGAGGAGCCTCCCCACCCAGCGACAACCAAGGAAACCCTGTGAGACCACCTCAGCCTGCCCGCACCCCTGGCCCAGCAGGGCGGGAAGGGGGGCCGACCACGGACGGGCGGACAGACAGATGCGGAACAGTGTGTGGATATCATGGCAGTTCCTTTATTACATTAGCTGAGGCCATCTGTGCCAGTCTCTGGGAGGTAGGTAGTCAGCTCTCCATTGCTGATGGGGAAACTGAGGCTCAGAGAGGAAGCACTTGTATCTGACCCGAGAGGCTTAGCTCAGAGATACCGGGAAGGAAGGTAGGCTGAACTCCCAGTCCTGCCCTGGCTCAGGCCAAGACTGGGAAAGAGCCCGGGAGGGCTGGGCCGGAGGGAGTCCTGTTCCCATCTGAGGTCACATCCACCCGCAGTCAGACTCCACAGTCAGGCGCGGGGGCACCTGAGACCCCGGACAAAGGTGTTCAATGAGAGCAAAACAGGGCCGGTCAGGGGCTGCCCACGGGCTCCACATGGGGTTGCTGTGGGGCCTCCTCTTCGCCCCCTGGCTCGCTGGGAGCTGCGCTGCTGGTCTGAGCTTCATGGGCCTCTGCTCCGCCCCGATAACACAGGCCAAAGCTGGGGGGAGAACCCAGGGTGTCGGAGAGAAGCAGGAAGGGAGGGGCGTGCTCAGGGCTCAGGACAGCAGGGTGGGCATCAGGGGAGTAGGAAAGGGGATGCTGAAAAGAACCCAGGGGGGCCTCTTCCTCTCCCCCCAACATACAAACTCTGTATTCTGGACTCAGGGGGTGGGGGGTGGTCTTCCTTATCGCTGGAGAGCAGGAGCCAGGAGCCATCCTCGTCGTCACTGAGGCAGAGTGGAGAGGAAAGAGGAGAGGGTCATTGATCAAGGCCAGGAGGGCCAATGGGAACGCAGCTATGGTTAGCTTTCTGCGTGGCCCAAGGGACAAGCAGGGGGAAAACAAAGTGACTACAGGGTCCCCCAAGCTGGAGGGGACACTGGGGAGATGAAGGACATCTTGAGACTTTTATTTTATAGGCTGATGGACAGCAGACCTCTGACAAGGCTGCAGCTATAGTCTTTATTATTTATTTTACTTACCAGATTACCTATTTATTATAAAAGGTTATAGCTCAGTAACAGCCAGATGGAAGAAGCATCCTTCCACCCTGCTGTCCTGAGCTCTAAGTGCACCCTAAGTTTTATTTTATTTTTTAAAAATATATTTTATTGATTTGTTTACAGAGAGGGATAGAGAATTAGAAATATTGATGAGAGAGAATCATCGGTCAGCTACCTCTTGCACACCCCCTACTAGGAATGTGCCTACAACCAAGGTACATGCCCTTGACCAGAATTGAACCTGGGACCTTTCAGTCTGCAGACCGATGCTCTATCCACTGAGCCAAACCGGTTTTGGCAGCACCCTAAGTTTTAAAGGGTGAGGTATGGGGAAGGCGCACAGGGCTTCCACGCCCTCTGCAGGCCCGCCGTGAGTCTGCATCTCCATGCGGCCACTAGCACAGGAGCTCTTTGAACCCAGGCCTTTTGGCTTCCTGTGAAGGTCTCTACAGCTACGGTCTCACTCCTCTGACATACAGCCAGGACAGGGAACTGAAGAAGGAATGTGGAGAAACAGCATTAGCAGGATTCTTCAGCAGGAGGCGCAGCAAGCATGGCAGGTGGGAGCAGTGCGATCCAGAGAGAACGATACAGAGAGAACGGTGGCAGGCTCAGGAATGCAGGCTCAGGGGGTGACCAGGCCAGATCGCTCAGGAATGCAGGCTCAGGGGGTGACCAGGCCAGATCGCTCAGGAATGCAGGCTCAGGGGGTGACCAGGCCAGATCGGCAGGCCCAAGGGTTGACCAAAGCAGAACAGCATGTTCAGCGGGGCAGTCCAGTTAGTAGGCTCAGGCCAGAGTAGCAGACTCTGCCAGGCAGCCTGGGTCAGCAAGCTCAACAGGGTGACCAGATGGGTCAGCAGACTTAGGAGGTGGCTAGGCAGGCTCAGGGGTGACCAAGACAAGACTAGGTCAGATTGGCAGGCCGGAGGAGTGACCAAGGCAGAATGGCAGGCTCAGTAGGGCAAGCTGGAAGCAGGCTCAAGGGGTGACCAGGCCAGTTTAGCAGGTTCAAGAGTGACTAGACTAGCCTGGCCGGATGTGGCTCAGTAGTTGAGTGTCAACCTATGAGCCAGGAGTTCATGGTCAGGGAACATGCCTGGGTTGTGGGCTCATTCCCCAGTGAGGGGCGTGCAGGAGGCAGCCGATCGGTGATTCTGTCTCATCACTGATGTTTCTCTCTCTCCCTCTCCATTCCTCTCTGAAATCACTAAAAATATATTATAAAAAAAAAAAAAAAAGAGTGACTAGACTAGTGTTAGGTTCAAGGGGGTGACAAGGCTGAGATAATAGGTTCAGTCTGAGAAAAAAGGATCAAAAGATGATCAGGCTGGGTCAGCAGGCTAACTACGGTGACCACAATAGGTCAACAGACTTCGGAGGTGGCTGGGCTGGGGTAGAGCATGGCCAGGCTGACCATGCTCTACGGAACGAGGGAGGGCGGTCTGGCTCAGTGAGAACAAAGGCAGGGACTCACCTGCTCTCCGCTTCCTCCGGGGTCCCTAGCATCTTCGCCTTGATCTTCTTCCGCTGCTTCCTGACAGCCACCTTCATGGCTTCCAGGAGAAGCCCCGGGACCCTGTGGTCTGCGAGCAGCTCCCTGCAGAGGAGGAGAAAGGGCAGGGGAAAAGTGACGGGGATACCAAAAGTCAGCCTCACACCAAAGTACCCTTTTTTAAGACACTTTGCCTAATACCCCTCAAACGTTAGCTGAGGTGTCACACCGCCTAGGAATCCTTCTCTGACGGGCCGCTGTGGCTGCTGTGACCCTTTGCACCGCCTTCCCCTCCCCTCCCCTCCCCTCGTTTGGCTGGAGTTCCAGGAAGGCAGGGGCTGTGTGACTCCTGTCCTCCCTGGGCCCAGCTCAGTGCCTGGCGTATGTCACTGTTTTTACACCAGTGAGCCAAAGAATGAGGCAGGTGACCCGAGGCCCAGGAGCAGGTGTGGCTGTAGCCCCTCAGCTGCCCAGCTCCTGCCCAGCTCCTGCCCGGCGCCCTCACCGCTGGAAGTAGGCCAGCTCCTCCTTCAGCAGGAACACGTTGGTTTTGAGCTCGTTCCGCTCCTGAAGGATCTGCTTAAGCTCCTCTCGACTGAAGCCGCTCTCCTCTGCGCTGGAGGGACACTGTGCCTGCGTCAGGGAGGCTTGGTCAGAGGGGTGGCCCTCTGCCCCTGGGTCATCACGGTAACTCTAGAGGGCATGCCTGGCAGGGAGACTGGGGAGACAAGGGGCCCCCACAACAGATGACAGACCAGTGCTCTAGATGAGGGTGGGACAGAGGCCGCTGGGGGGACATACTTGTGTGCCACCTGCCAACTTCCCATTGCACCTGCTGCGCAGCACAGCACACTTCCCGGCGCCCACCCTTGTGAGGATTGGGGAGGGTCCCTGACCTCAGCGGGCACTCACGGGGTCCTCCGAGGTCCCCGGGCCTCCTGGTCCTGCGGTCGCCAGCTCAGGCTCCTGCCTCTGTGCGCACCCAGGACTCCCGGCCGGGTTCCGTGCCTGATCCTGAGCCAGCTCCACCATCCCTTCCCGCTCGCTCTCGCGGTCCCGTGCGGCCCGCAGCTGGGCTTGCACCGCGGCCAGCTTGTGCCGCAACTCTGCATTCACCAGCAGGAGGCGCTGCAGCTGCTCCTGCAACTGGGGGCGGAGCATGCGGTAGGGCCGGTGGGCGGGCGCCGAGGGAGTTCCGCCCGCCCCGCCCCGCCCCGCCCCGCCCCGCAGCCTCTCCCGCCCTCACCGCCTCGGTCTCCTGGCTGCGCTGCTGCAGGTCCCGGCTGTGCGCCCGGAGTTCGTCCCGCTGCCGGTCGGTCACTTCCTTGAGCTGCCGCAGCAGAGCGCGCTCCTCTGGGGAAGGGTCGTGCTCAGCGGCGGCCCGGGAGGGGGTCTCGGGCGGCCCGCCCCCGCCCTGGCCCGCACTCACCCTGCGGCCCGCGGCGCAGCTCTCGGCGGAGGTGCTCGTTCTCCTCCCGCAGCCGCCGCAGCTCCAGCTCGGCCTGCTGCGCCGACACCTGCAGCTGCGAGTCCAGGCTCTCAGGCTTAGGCCCCCGGCGACCCCGCGGGCGGCAGAGGGCGGGGCAGGGACTCACCGAGTCGGGGGCGGGCCCCACGGCAGCCTTTTCCAGGAGCTCCAGCGCGCGCACCACCAGCGGCACGAGTCCCGCCGCCGCCTCGGGCCCGAAGCGGCGCGCCAGCTCCTGCAGCTCGGTGCCCAGGGCCCCCGCCAGATGGTACACGAGCTCTGCGGCCGTCTCAGCCCCCGCGGCCACTCGAGGCCTCCAGCCATGCTCCCCAGGCGCCGCCCTCCTGGGCTCCATGTCCCCCGAAGGCCAAGGGCTGCGGCAGTCACCGCCCCCACCCCTAACTGGGGCAGGAAAAAGCCAAACAGTTCCCGCCCAGGAAGCAGTTCAGGGCAGGAGAGGGTGGGGTAGAAGCGTCGGGGAGGAGCGACTAAAGAAAACAGCCTGGGGGAAGGAGACCTTGTCCTGGCCCCCTGGGCCCTGTCCGGTTCAAGTCCCCAAGGTCACAGGAAGCAGGAAAGCCAGCCTCCAGCCAGGCGTCCAAGAGCTGAGGGTCAGGGCTGTAAGTGGTCACTTTGTCAAGCCCTCCCCGGTGCCCAAGCCAGGCTCCACCCCTGTGCTGGAGTCATGGGCCCCACTGGGCCGCCAACCCACAGGGCAAGAGGTGAGGTGAGGAGTCACTGGCCTTTGCCAGAGCCAGCTGTCCAGGCATGTGCCTGTGCCCTGACCAGGAGTGACAGAAAGCTTAAAGGGCCAGGCAGGCATCCTAACTATAGAGGACAAGTCACAAGCTCCCAGGCCCAGGAAATGGCAACTGCTCTAAGGGATGATTTGCAAGTATTTTGGAGCAAGA